TTCCTTGGCCAATTGAGGTTCGATGGATGTGTATTATGCTGTGACATTGGAAGATATCATTAACTCGTCGTTTTCTATGTTAGTGTTTTTGATCTTTTCTAAGAATTCCGTTGGTGACTTGATGGAATGTCTGCATGATTGAATGAGGTGTTTCAATTTTCTCGAACGTTCTCTTGATATGTATGTTGGAGTTCTCGGAAATGAGACTATTGGTCGTAGAGTGATATCCGGTTTGTGTAGTGTTGGTCTGCCGTAGAATGGAAGAAGGATAGGTCTATTTGATTTCATACACCATTTGTCTTGCTTTGTTATTTCTTCTGCTTTGAAGAGTTTGTTCAAGGTTTTATTGGTCTGGTTGTCGAAATTTTGGATAGGGTTTGTTTCAAGTGGTTGTACACATTTTCATCTTTGTTCAATTCCTCTGCCTTCCTGATGTAGTCTTTATCCATGATTACTGTAGTGCGTTCTTTGTCTGCTAGAAGTATAACGATATCTTTTTCTATTTTTCAGTCTCTTCAGTGTTTTCTTTTTTTGAGTGTTCATTTGAACATGATGTCTCCTCTGCCTGGTTAGTGGTACGATTGTTTGCCATATTTCTTGTTGAGTGACCTCATTTAATCCTGGTGTTTTAAGTGACGATTCTAATGCCGCAAAAAATTCTGGTTTCGAGGCATCTCTTGTGTTGTAATTCAATCCTTTTTGAAGGAGAAGTTCTTCCATTTTCGTTAGTGGTTGTTTTGATAAGTTGGTAACGCAGTCGTTTGTTTCTTCGGTTGTAGGTGCTGCTGAGATTTTGAATAGCTTTTTCCTGAGGACTTTTCTTCGTTGTTCTTTGTATAGTCTGCTTGATTTTTCAATTGCAGTTGTCAATGTTGTGGTGTGTTGCGTCGTGAGTATGCTTTTTAGTTTTCTCTTTTGATTGTTAATCACTGATTAGTATTTCCGGATCCGATGGTGTGCATCTGTTATCATCAATTGTACCAGTTGCCTTCCACTTTGTTCAGCTATTTTCATCCCATTGGACAGTTAATCGGTGGTCTATATCTGACACTCTTCGGCAGAACATGCTGACGTAAGAACTGATGGAGGAAAAATAGTTTTTCTATTGTGGAAGCTTGTCTTTTGGAGAAGTCTTCCCATCGAACAACGTGAAGCGTGTCACGCTGGTATGAGCTCGTTGGGGTCGCCAAGATAATAGTAATCAGTAGTAGAAGGCTTTTGGTGAGGTGGTTAAAAATTGGTCACAACCATGCAGATGTGTTCACTCGTTGACATGTTCTGAACCTTGAATATTCGCACCGATTGTTATCCTCAGATGTTTATTCTCTTACACTACTTTGTCTACTTTGACATCAGTCTTTTTTATCTACTTGTTCTTTGTGTAGTACTGTGTAGTGTGGGAACGTGTGTGCGACGTTCTGTTAATTTTGTAAATCAGTCAGCAAGGTTTCACGTTGACTTACTCGTTGTTCAGTTATTACTCTTACTATAGTAAAGGTAGCAATGATGATAGAAGCCATGAAATCCCTTAAAATGACACAAAAAGGTAAGGTGAAGCTTTCAAATCAGTGATAGAATGCACATAACATTAGATCAGATGTAATTATTTGTTAACGTACAACACATTAGGCATAGTAGAAAATGAATGTTTCGCAAAACTAAAATTATCGCGAAGATTTAGTGAAACAATATTTTAAGCACTGTAGTAAGTTAATTTTATTCTATTTTGTTTATTCCTCTTGTTTTACGTAAACTTGTGATTGATAACTGTAGAAATAAATAAACAACAAAAATAGATTGATTCCAAGTTATAACTAATAAGAAAACACCAATTAGATATATTTCTACTTGCAAATGCATTCTGCCATTACGACTTGTATAATAACTGCAATTATTATTATGATTCGTTGTTCACACTTATTAGCTCCTCAAATATCATACACTTTATGCACAAAGTGTGAACAAATAAATTTACTCCTGGTTAATTTCATTTTATTTTGTCTTAATGGTGATGCTAACAACAAAATAAGTTCATTTATACCGAAAATCTCGCTTCATCGAAATAAAGAAGATTGAACATATTCTGACCAACAATGAACTGGATGTTATAATTTACTTGGTTGTGGCTAGCAGAGGGATCCAGGACGCACGTTCCATCTTATTTGGGACTTGTCAGCTGGGTGAACCTACAGTTCTTCAAATTCTCTTTCTTTGTTTATTGCATCCACTTTCCATACACACCTTCCTATTGTTGTATTGAACCATCATCTTATAGTATTACGTAATCCGTATGATCGTTTCTACATTAAATTGAATCCCAGCAATAATTGATCCTGACATTAACGTCCGCATAAAGCTTCTCTGAAGTGATTACCTCAGCTGTATAATACTATTGACAAACTGTTAAACTAAATCTCAATATTTTTGACTCGAAATCGCTAAATATGTACATATAACAACTGTAGGACCTGAAGAAGTTATCGAAAAGAATATTCTTTGTTCACTGCAACAGTTTTTCACTTATAATGGTGTTTTTAAGAATTATTATTTAGATAAACATCGAAAAGATCTGTCATAATGCTGCTATAGTAGTAAATGTATCATGTACGAAGTTAGATTGTAATAGTGTTAAGATATTTAGAAAGGGAAATCATTCATTACAATAGTTACACCAGTAGAAAAAGAAACAGCGCAGGCGACATGGCTAAAAATCAGTGGTAATGGTTCACACGCATTCGTTTATCAAGTATTTTGCTCTTTTGATGCTATTCTTTTCCGTTCTCTTCGTAAGTTTCCTCTTCCCTACTCGTTTCATATTATTTTTAATCATCTAGAAAGCTTCGGTAATGATTGTAACAGTCTTAGTTGCAAATTTGTATCAGGTTATATGTATGTTGTTTGTTTTTCGTGAATTTTATTTCTTCAAAACTGATTTGTTCGAAACACTGTAAATCTTCACACTAAGTGAAGTCGACAACGTTTTTATTCTGTCTTTCAAAATCGGTATTCGTAAAACAATCAACAGGAATATGCACAACATCTGAAGGTAAGTGGACAGTACTCAATACCATGAACTTAGCGAATCACAAAACCAAATTCGTTTGCTTTATTGTTCTTTTTCGCTGCTAAAAATATTTGGGTCTGTGTCAAGCAAGGTAGTCGAAAACTAATTGAAGAGAAAGTCCACAATTTTTGCCTCATTTTATGTACCATAATAGACGAAGCGTCGCCTGTCGATACTATTCCAGACCGGACGTTAATCTTACACCAGCTGGCTATTTCACATTGTTGCCTTTAATACTGTTACTTTACCATTATTCAGATGCAGTAATTATTTTTTTTTGAAAATATGACAAGAAGAATTTGTTGGAATATTACGTGATGAGAATCCCATACTATATCGTTTGGAATAAAGCGATTATTATCATTATTATTATTGAAACGCGTATGTACAGCGTGGTTTGAGTCTATAGCTCACTGAAAAAAAGTTCAGTATCCAGACGTAATGAACTATAGACCTCAAATATGTGTCCATATCTCACTTTCTTTGCAATAACAGGTTAAATGATAACAATTATTTTCAAATAATAGCCTACATTTTTATTTCTATACTGTTGCAAATATGTGTTTTATTCAGCTGAGTTAAAATTTATGTTTTTGTAGATTTTATTTGTACTCATTCGAAGAGTGATAATAACAGTAATCTGAAGAATAATATGCTAATAAGAAGAACGCAATAGTATCAACCTTCATATTCTAGACTATGAGTTGTGTATCGTCGAAGATACACGAAATGAATAATTTGAATAACAATAGTCATTTTTTTCCAGATAATAACTTTTAGTACAGTTTGGAGTTCTTAGTGTAATATTTCAACGACTTACTTCTTAACATTAGATATAAGTTGTTATATTTGAACAAATCTCGCGTGTTTGAAATAAGAAATTCCAAGGTTTCTCAAGGAAATCTGGTCTGGTCACGATTGAACAATGAGATGAACTATAGGATTTTTTCTCTTTATATATATATATATATATATATATATATATGTAGATTTTGGCTATTTCCCTGAAGAAGCTCGGATCAAACTTCCGTGCGAAACTTTGGAATTTCTTATTTCAAACACGCTGAGATTTGTTGGAATATAATTTATATCAAATGTCATCTTTTCACTCGATGCCTAATATTTGTGAAACTATCTGGTCAAACCTTGACTAAGATTCATATAAATTTACTTCTTGTACACCATTATCAAATTAAAAGAAACCATAGCGCTGAAATAATGTTAATAATAACAGTATGACAGGCAGTAATGCACCACAACCAGTAGTTTTTAGGACATCATCTGGTTTGTATGCTGTTGCACATGGGTCGGATAGAAAAGTTAGGTGGTAGAGGTCCATTCATCCAGTTTGAAAATTTTCAGTCCCACCTACGTGTTTCTGTAATACCTATATGATGTGTTCAGGGGCTCACTGCTGCCTAATGTGATATTTTCTGATAGTCTTGTTGTTAACCGGTTTAAAGATAGATTGAATAAATTTTAAGAGTACGCAAGGGTATGCTTTTTAAGATTTGTTAACATCTGAATGGTTAAAACAAGTAAAAAAGGAGTAGTTTGATGGAATATTTTTGGTAGTCCAAAATTTAAGCAGGCAGCCAGATAATTTCACAACTCAATTATATAAGATTGACCACCTGCATCTATGTTTCACAGATTTATATTCATGTAAGCAGTGTCACTCATCCATTTCAATTTTATTTATTCAATGTGTAGTTTTCTGTTTTGTAACTATTTCTTTCTCTAATTCACATTTCGCGGCATCGCTGTAAATATTTAGGTTGAAATAGTAATTTTACACTTTACTCAATCCAAACGTTGAATGCATGAATATTTGTAAAGCTATTCACACAGATCTTGAACGAAGCCTTTTCATATGAATTATTTTTATTTTCCCGGTTCTTTTTTTCACTTTTTCAAAAAATGCTTCTTTGTTCAGAAGTCATTCTGTCCACAATGTATACGGCCCAAGTTTATCTTTACCTAACCGCGAAAAACGTGCTGTTGAAAAATGCAATGCATCGAAAAGTGAGAAATCGGGCAACTGCATGGAATTCAACCTTTTACCATTTGACGATTGGTCACCGATGCAAAAGTTTTCATTCATTGAGGCAGAAAATGTGTCTATATGCTGTACTACGGATTCATACTCATCTTATGGATATATGCTTACTAATGCATCAACTTTAAATGCTCCAAATCTAGAAGTATATGATGAAAGTAGTGATGAAGAGGATGAGCGGAAACTGCTCGATAAAATACCTGGTTCAACTGTAGGCTTAAAGGCTTATAATGTGGAGTTAAGAAAATATCCTAATTCTAAATTGATAAGTAGTCATAGGAATTCAGTTGCTAACTGTGAAGGAAATTTCAACGATTCAGAAGGTAAAGTGTGTGATCATTAAATATTTATATTTACTTACCGTTTTTATTTCCTTTAAAACTAAATTTTATATTGTTTTCCATTTAATTCCCTCAAATCATGAGCTATGACGAACATCCACCAATGAAAATGAATAATAATCACATTTTGCTTTGTATTGAATCATTTAATTCTAACAAGATATGTAATTCTAAAGTACTAGTTCAATGATAACACACCTATCGCCATAGCTGGTGGTTATGAATTCGATTCTGTATAGGATCGTCGGTTCACACTCCTGAATAGTTGTAAAGTGGGTTGAAACAATGGCTACTGTCGACCTCCTAGGTGATAGGAACAACTTAATCTAGTTTCTGTTACACATGCAATCTCCTTTTACGGCTAAACGGTTGGTGCTATCAGTAGTCCTTTAACTATATACGTTGATGTGATCATGAAATTGATGCAGAGCACATTCCCTGCAACCTGTATGGTACCTCAGCTATCAAAGGTGGATCCTGTTTACAAATACAAGTATTCGATTGGTATTGCTTAGCTATTTTTGGCTCATTTCTTGGTGCTTACGATGTACCGTATTTGTGTTTGAAATAAAATAACTTGTGTATTTTGAATTTCATGGCATATAAAGATCACTTTAGATGACTTCCTTTTACTTTTTATGTATACCATACACAAAGTAGCTTGCTTTTACTCCGAAACGTTTTTATGGAAAAATAAGTAGAATGGTCTGCTTACTTTTAATACTTTAGTTAGACTTAATATTTTTGGAAAGTGTAGTCGGTGAACGTGGATACTCTCTATATCTTTTATAATGCTCCACTAATCAGTGATCACTTCATATTGAGACGTATTTTTTTTATTTTGCTATTTATCTCAAGGAGCAAGGTCATTGATTGACAATCTGACATTTAGGTGTTAAAAATACAATTCGGTTAAATTAAAAAAAATAATTTTTTCCCTCTTGGTGTGACTAATAAAAAAAAGAGGATTAAGTGCACCCTGTAACCAAGGCATCGTATAGAGCGAGCAAATGAAACCTCGAAATTAGGAGTCCAGTTACGACATGCCTTTTTCATGCTAATGGGAATTCTGACAATTTGAACCATTGCACGTTTTGCAAAATCCTGCAATTATATATCTGTCTATAGGAATCGTGATGGGTTCGATATTTTATGGATTACAGTTCAGCTTTGGGGTCAGGTAAGTAATTTCAGTGCTAGCTGAGTCGCGAACTGAATTCAACCCTTTAGGGTTTCAATCTGACTTTTCATTTCTTACAATCTCTGCTACAGCTGTAATGCATTGAAGACCCTCTGGGTTCTGATTAGTCACCTCAATAAAAACATAGCATTACAATTCCACTTCTGCTTACAGCCAGTTTTTTGAACTCATTACACGGTTGGTAAGCATTTTATACGCACAAACCATGGAGTTCTCATGTTGTAGAATCAATAAGCAATCAGCCCAATGATTGGACGCACAATATTAAGTAACTGAAGCAGTTCAATTGATGCTGTTGTGAAGTGTCGTCTACTCAGGTGATCAAATCAGATGATACCCACACCTACCCAACTTCTATTCCCAGCACGTCATATTAAGTGAAATCGGATTAGTTTCTAAAAAGCTGATTTCGGCCACGCTAATCCATCGAGTCTCCGGTTGTCTGTTTGAGCTATGTAACGAAATGATGGCTATCTAGTTAGATAAGTTTTTAGACTTGATGGGGCATGGATCGAAACCAATTCAAACGGAGCATATGGTTCCCTGCTTTATCGTCATATAAAGCACAATATCATACGTTAGCACTTTTATCTGTTTTTGCATTGTCCTGTGAATTCTAACAACTAATAATATTATTTGTATCTTCCGTAACATTTTGGACCTTTGTTCAATTCCGTAAAACCTTATATGTCTGTATCTTTCCCTTGTTGTCGTAACATACTGATTTGGAATGTAGCAACGTTTGCCGTTTTTCTCGATCTACCTCATTATCATAATGTTAACATGTTCTCAGTGTTTTTGTGAAGTGACTTCAAAGGCCACTCTAGCAACGACTGAAAATACCATTTAGATTGCTTCATTTTGACTGGGAAAGCAGTTTTTTCTTAAAATACAGAACTATAGTTAGTTACTTCAGTTGTTGTTAGGGTGACCTTTAGAGTCACTCTTCTTGTGAATTAGCCGTAGTAACGTAATTATGCAGATTTAACTTTCTATAGTTTAAAGTTGTTTACGGTATGACTGTTTGTTGCAGTTGACAGTTGGCGCTGTACTGTCAAAAGAATCATGAGGTTTTTAGTGCACAAACTATGGAGTTCTCATATTGTAGAATCAATAAGCAATCAGAACTATAGTTAGTTACTTCAGTTGTTGTTAGGGTGACCTTTAGAGTCACTCTTCTTGTGAATTAGCCGTAGTAACGTATTTACTTGCTAATTGTATACTTCATTACTACTTTGGCCTGGCAATCGGGTAGTATATTGGCCCTTATACAACAAGTATGATTCAATCTAGTACACAGATTGTTATCGGGACGAAGCGAGTTAACGAACATCATGTAACATGCTTGGAAAGTGGATCATACGTGGTCATCTGAAAAGCGTAACTTTACTTCACCAGTTTTAAGGGCTTGATCTGAAGTTAAAAGAAAATGTGAATTGATTTTTTGTGATTTTACTCATATACAATGCATATTATTCAGTGACGCACTTGTTCAGCTATTCCGACATGTTGGGTCACTGGTTTGATTGTTGTTCCGTCTATCCTGCTGTTTGATCATAAGTTTAGTAATACTGGCTCTTACATCAATAGATAAGGCTGAAACGCAGTTCATATACCTACATATAGTCAGAGGAGTGCATTTTTCGAACGATAATTAAGTCATTCTCTCCCTGTTTTTTCCTTTCACTTTCATAGTTTATACCTATGGTTCGTTAACTATGCTGCCTCCACCTCCTGGACCAGAAGAAAATGAAACCATTATATCTGAAGATGATAGAAATGAACAGTTTGCGGACCTTATTCAGCTCACAAAATCCAAAACTACACCTAAACACATATCTAGTAACAAGGAAAGTCATATAAAGTTCGAGTCAAACTCTAGAAATAATCGTAAAGTTGAGAACTGTATTACACCATCGACTTCCGAAACAACCATCCATTCCAAACAGTCTTTTTCACTGGACAACTTACTTGATGGGATAAATTCTATTGATGATAATGACAACAAGTGCCAACCATCAGCTCCACCTTTAATCGATTTGTACAGTCGTATACCTGATCCACCCATTTTTACTCCTAAACATCGTATTACAGTAAGTTTAAGTTTCCGGTCATTTTACCTTTTCACTGGTGTTTGGACTGTCTAATTAGCGATAAAAAAGGTTACTTCCGAACGAACTAGCATCATTCTTGATTGTTGACATTCATTTCAGTAGCACTCTATCCATTGGCTATGTAATTCACCTTTCGCTGTTTTGTATCTGTCTTTACTAGGTACCAACTGCCCCAATTTATACACCATCGGTGCTTAAACCTGGAAATACTTACTGTTCCGTTATTTCCCCTCGTACAGTAGCACCTATATATTTACCCAATCCATTTTTATTTACAAATTGTAACGTTTCAGCACAGTTTACTTGTTATCCACGTGGACAGTACTTCTTGAATCCTTTCTATCCTCACCATCAAGAACGTATGCAAAAGTCATATTGTGCATCTGATCAATTCATTTCTCCAACCAGCTACAATATGAATCATTCAGTAATGCAGATGAGTTCTTTTGCTGATAATGATAATCCATTTGATTTAAATAACTTGAAGTCTAACTATCTTTCATCTTCCACAGATGAAATCAGTACATTGAATAAGCATAATAATAAGTGCTCAGTGGATATTTTTGATTTTGCGTTCAATGGAAACGATAATAGCAATAATAAAAATACCTTGCCTTCAACAACTTGTGATGATAGTCAACATGCTGTTGACTCAGTTCAAACACCAGCTGTCAGAAACCCCCTATTCTCAATTAAACAACCTGTTCATCCTTCAAATAGACTAGAAAATGATTTACTTGTGCGATCATGTAAGTTTCCTTTCCTTTTATCAGTCATTTCATATATATATACTGGGTGATGATTGAAGGTTAGATGAAAATCTGGACCGCAGTCGGATTTTCATCTCACCTTGAATCATCACCCAGTATAAATACTATTCTGCCAAACTACGGCAGATGGTCAAATAATAATTTTATACATAGTTTTTTGTTTGCTTAACAACCGACAATGCAAGTGTTTTGGTGAAGATAAAAGTATAATCCTTACTAACTAGTAAAGTGTTTTGTATTTTTGGTTGAATCGACTTATTTCCCTTTTCTTCATCCGTTTTTGAGTTGCAGAATTATAATTGTAACTTCTCTCAACACTAGTGCGTGCATCAATAAATTGACCTTCAACGTTTTATTCGCCAACTCTCTTTTGTACCTCGAAGACTCACAGAGTTGGTACATACACGAGTTCATTATTTCCTTCCTTCCTTCTCAAAACTATATTCCCACTCCCTACTTTGCATTTGCGTCTATGTGACGAACTCAGGGCATAACAGGATAATGATAATTGTGTTAACTTTCAAAACTCATCATACCATTGTCGTAGTTTCTGAATAATATTTATAGAAAAAAAGTTTTTTTTATTGATTCGGATCATATAAAGATATGATATCATTGTAGTTAGGTTTTCCTTTTTCTGCATGACGGCATTTCAAGTTATACATTTGTTTAACTGGCTGGTATAAATAAGCATTCCTTTCATCGGTAAATGGTACACCCAGTTGAGACATGATCGTTAGAAGCAGGAGACATGAGCCATTATATAGTTTTGATCAAAGTGTCTTCATAGCATTGCTCACGTTTGGTAGAATCACCATGTGAGCAGCGTTGAGGTCAGGTGAATGGTAGTAGGCAAGACAGGAGAGTTGATTGATGAGGTTGTGAACCTCAGTCGACTGCTGTGGCATGGACGTGTACTGCACATGCCGAACCGCCGCCTACCTTGACGCGGGATACTGGTGGGGGAAGTTGGATTCGGTTGGAAGAAGGTTCCGAGGTGACCAGACGAAGTGGGAGCAGTCTATGAGGTCCATGACTATTGGTGTGAGTCGTGTTGGGAGATGCAGACTGTGTAGTTGGGGTCGCCGAGCTAGAAGAAATCAGTGTTTGATGACTCTTGGTGAGATGGTGAAAACCAATTAGTGGAAATGTATTCACTCGTTGACATGTTCTGAATCTTGAATATTTGCATTAGTTGTTATCGTCAGATTGTTTATTCTCTCTACTTTGTCTAATTTGATATCAGTCTTTTTCTATCCACTTGTTCTTTGTGTAATACTGTGAAGTGTGGGGACTTGAGCGGATGCATGTGTGTGCGATGTTCTACATGGATTTAGTCGATCAGTTAGTCAGTTAGCTTCTAAAAATCATTTAGATATCAGCTGATGTCTCGCCAACTTCAGTCCTGATTCTCAAACTCCTCACCATAAATGTTAGCCGCACATATTCCTTTCTTAAAATACTTGTAATAGCTCACTGTACGCCAGGGTTTCTTTGTCGATGAATAAATGACATTGAAAGCATTGTATTCATCCTTGTTATTATTTTGATAATTTCATGCACATTTTTGAAGGTAGTCAAATATTTTACTGTTAACCGCTGTTATCTTTTGAATTTTTCACGTTCATGGAAGGACAAGTATTCCTTCGTTATGTCCATTTCCAACATAGATTTAACATAGTTTTTGTGTTCATCTACTATTATTCCAAAGTATTTCGAAGTATTACTTTGCCTTACTAATGCTATTAAACCATTCTGATTCGATAATATGATTAGTTTACCTTATCTAGTTGTTACAGGTTTGCGTAGTAGGCTATCAAATTTATGATATTCACTGGCTACCCAAACTCTCGAACAAAATTTACGAACTTATACTACTTTATGGTGCTTATTTATATTCTTAACATCCATATGCTTCCTAATTCCTACTGTTACTTATAAATGGAAATGTTGGGCCGTAAGAATGATAATTTCATTTATGTTGTGTTATATACACCTCAGTGTATGGAAGACTTTCCACCAGTAGTTTAAGTGTTCAAACCATGCTGTCTCTTTTTTAGTATTTGGTAGCCAAGTAGCTTTTTCCGGTCATGAAGGGAGAGATTTGTTCAACTTTTATTCCAAACGAAAGCTACACATGGTGTTTACAATCTTGGAGGAATAAATGGCCCACAAACCTACTTTTTTCACCGGCAACCAAGAAAATTTCGCACACTGTGTCGCTCGACTACCATGTGAATCAACTTTCTAAGGTAACCACCTGCTTCGGTCTGTGTCCGAGTAGTATCAAAACCCACTCACAATTCACTGACCAAAATAACAATCAAGATTTCAAAGAACTTAACAAATTTTGTCGCGAGCAATCTGACTATCTTACAAACTTAAATGTCAATTATTCATTATATTATCACTTCTTCGCTTTTAGGATCATTTGTATGTACACTATTTGTGTCGTCATTCTAAAATTTATCCTTGTACGTATTTGCTCAGTTCAGTTGGTTGATACTGATTGAAAGTTTTGTGTCTGCACTGTTTTGAATCGCTGAAGTTTGATGGTTTCTTTATATAGAATAATTGAAAGTTTTGATTTGGTAGTGTTTCAAAATGTAATAAAACAGTTCTAATGACATAATAAGTAGAGGATATTTTGAAGTATCCTGAATGTATGAGAGGTATAGCTGAGTACTAAGTAAAATATCAAATCTGATTATTTGACCATTATGAGACAATGCATAGGGTATGAAGAAGAAATACCATGTGAGGTTAATTTCTGAGTAACATCTTAGTTGAAGCCGATGAGAAATCTCTAGTCACACCACACATCAAACTCCTACGGTTATTTTCAATGAATTCCCGTGTACCCAAACTAAGCATACATTACTGATGGAAACCTGTGAACATCTTTTAGCCTAGGAATTCACTATTTCTTAAGTAACTAAAGCTTATCTACGTCCTTATCTAGTTTTTGGTTCTAATTTGTTCAAATTTTTGTTGATTTGGTAATTACTTGCTGCCCAAATATACAAATACTAACGGTAATTTAGATAACGATTCTTTCGCATTGGATTGCAAATACTTAGTGCTTTACTGATAAGTATTTAACCGAGTGAAATCATGGATGCCCTGTAGGATAAATGATTCTAGTATTTTTTTGTGCGTAGTTTGGGTGTCGAGTGTAGAAGTAAACTAATCGTAGTGTGATAATAAACACTTATCTGTTTATTCATATGAAAGACTAATAAATATGGAGATTCCACTTAAATTCTAATAAACATTTAATGGTTTTTGCATTTGCCTTTTCAAGGTTCTGACAAAAACTCCTCTTCATCGTTTCCACCAGTGGTCACGATTTCGAGTCCTTGTTCTACTGACCAACTCAATCCAATTTATACTCCTACTAAAGTAAGTCTTGAATATTTGAAAGCGACTATGTGAATTTCTAATGGATATTGATTGTTTTTTTTATAATCATATGTAAAATGTGACTCATTGTTTTAAGCACTCGATTCTCAAGCAGTGGATTCCAGGTTCATATCCCGGTGCATTTATTTAGGTTTGGAAAACCGTACAACGTATAATAAGCCCTCACAAAATAAGTCGAACTCGTAGCTTAGTACATAAGCATGTATCTAGTTGTGTTGCATCATTTCCTAGTATAATAGCGATGAAAATAATAAAAGAATGATAGGTCATTAATATAAGTGAAAAACTTGGGCACTGTGGTAGAATGTAGTTCCATATTAGATTTGTTTATTTGATATAAAGCGCACAGTGATACAGTATTATTTAATTGATTACGTTTCGAGCATAAATTATTGCTCATAATCATATCAATGTAATCACACTTCTTTCGACATCTGATTTTATAGTCCTGTCACCTGATCTCTCTTTGTTTTTTTGTTTTTTGATTGGTAGTAAAGTTTTCCATATCTCTGGTATAGGTGTTGCGTCATTCCTATTACATGTGTTGGGTGTGGATTCGATGAACAAAGATTCAGTAATTAATCTCTCTCTCCACCTAGCTATATTAGACTTAAGTACAGTGGTTTTGTCCCATCCTATTGTGTGGTTGTGTGTTAATGAATGTAATGCAATGGCTGAGTGTTTTTCTAGGTTATTGATCTTATTGGGGTCTGCCGTTCTATGTTTAGCTAAATTCCTATGTTCTGTTAATCTAACTGACCCCGACCGGCTAGTTTGACCTATGTATTTGACTTCACAGTCATTACATGGAATTTGGTAGATTATATTATTTTGCTTAATTGGTTCTATCGGATCTTTTAGCCGACAAAGCTTACCTCTAAGTGAGTTTGTTGGTTTAAATGCCACCCTAATTCCAACCTTGTTGAGAATCCTACGTATGGTTTCTGATGTTCCTTCCTTGTATGGTATCACAATAGAGGTGTTGATTTCCTTTCTACTTATGTTGTCACTATTATTTGTATTTGTATTAGTGTTATTATTTTGCTTCTTATGTGTCCGTGTGAATTTCTTAATAAAATGATGGGGATAATTATTAATTATTAACGCTTCTTTTATGTGTTTCAATTCCTTATTTAAGTCCTTACAATGACTAGTGAGTTTCTCAGCTCTGTTATTTAGACATTTGACTAAACCCGCTTTAACTGACACTGGATGAGATGACTTGAAGTCTAGATATCTGTTAGAATGTGTTGGTTTTCTGTAGACGGTAGTATCTAAACCACCATCTATCCTTCGTTTTATTCTGCAATCCAACATAGGTAATTCTCCTTGTTCATTTTCTACTTCGTAAGTGAATTGGATTGCGTTAACTACTGAGTTTATGTGTGTCAAGAAACTGTCGATATGTTCCGATTTCAACACTGTAAATGTGTCATCTACATATCGCCACCATATCTTAGGTGTCGGATTATATGTTCGTAAAGCCATATCTTCCCAACTATCCATAAATATATCTGCTACTATAGGGGATATTGGTGATCCCATTGCTACTCCTTCTGTTTGTCTATAAATCTTTCCCTGAAACTTGAAGACTGTCGAGGTTAAGCATAACTGCACTCCTAACATGATTTCACCAACCGATGCCTTGGTTCTTTGAGTAAGTTGTGAGTCAGTATCTAGTTGATTTCTGACTGCCTCCAGTGCCATATTGATTGGTATTTTAGTATAAAGACTTGTTACGTCAAAACTAACCATTTTTTCATCCTCTTCTATGTGCAGGTCATTAAGTTTTTGTTTCAACTCGTAAGAATTTACTAGTCTAGAGTTGGAACGGTCTCTAACAGGACGTAATACTGATGCTAAATACTTTGATATCTCATATGTGTATTTTCCATGTCCTACCATCGTTACCTTGATAGCATAAGCCGAGTGTCGTGGTACTGTTAGTACTGTTAGTAAAATAGAAGGCAAACTCAAAGTTTGAGGCATAAGAGGTAAATCAGTTGATGTATTTGTATGCTTTCATCGACTCAGATGAGTTTGACAAGTATAATTCAGTCACCGTGTACCCGTCGCGTAGTAATAGCTGAAGTACAGTTAGGCTGAAGAAAGGTTAAAGGGAGCCAAACTGAAACTTGGCATCAGTCAATGAATTCTGTGACTGTTGACCTGTGGAACTGTAGCTGATTGGTTTACGCGGTTAACTTCCAACCGGTGAATCACGAGTTCGAATACCGGATCACCAACTAAGGTTCGGAAAACCAGTTAGTATCATTAACCCTCACACAATATGTATAACTCGTTGCTTACTGCATGAATATGCACAAGGTTGCTGAGAGCTATTGGATTTTCAGTATGTGTTGTGTAGGAAATTGTACACTTTCCAGTTTGGTATCTACATGAGAAGTGAAATTGGTGGTTGAAGACTGTAGGTGGTACGATCCAGGATTGATTTCATTAGTGATGGTGTATCCACGCACGCACGATCGTAATCGCAATAGTCATATCGCATTTTTCCATTGTTTTGCCTTCATTTCTTCTCTTTCTATGTCTTTCTACGACTTTTGATCACATTTTATTCCTATTCCACTATATTTCATCTTGGTGCTTTGTATCTGGATGTGTTGATGTGAGTTGTGACAATTTTGGTCTTCACTGAGTGACGGCGATTCCTACTCTGGTATTGATTGATGCCTTTGTTTACTTTCATATCAGTCTTTCCTATCCACTTGCTTTTTATGTACCACTGTTAAGTGTTGCAACATGAACCGATGTACTTGTGTGCGAGGCTCTACCATGATTTTGTCAGTCTTTCTGGAACCTTAATTGGTCTAAGATGTCTGAAGGATTGTCGGTACAATCTTAGATGATTATCACTTTCTAAAATCAACTCTTATTATTCAGTGACTCGATGAAAATGAATCACTGTAGTATGCCGCAACTGTGAATTGTTCCTATACTTGTCTTTACCATTCTTTTTTTTCTGTTACTGATGTAAATCCTGAATCGTGTTGGATAGTGTCTGCTTAACGTTACCCTTCAATCGAAGCTATTAGTTTGCTTGGATCTATTGTCCATTGTGAAACATACTGGTGTAGGTTTACAAGTGAACAACTGTAATTCATTGCAGCTCGAACGGGGTGGTTACTGACGGAATCTCAGCTCCGATACAGAAGTCCCGTTTGGCATTCGCTAACTCACGTCACCTGTGGCGCCGGCGCGATATCCGACTGCCTACCAAAGGATGCTGCAGTTTTTTCTGTCCTGTTAACGGCTGAGACATGGCTGTTGAAAGTAGATGACATGGAGGGATTACAGGGTTTTGATCAAAAGTGTCTTCATAGCATTGCTCACGTTTGGTAGAATCACCATGTGAGCAGCGTTGAGGTCAGGTGAATGGTAGTAGGCAAGACAGGAGAGTTGATTGATGAGGTTGTGAACCTCAGTCGACTGCTGTGGCATGGACGTGTACTGCACATGCCGAACCGCCGCCTACCTTGACGCGGGATACTGGTGGGGGAAGTTGGATTCGGTTGGAAGAAGGTTCCGAGGTGACCAGACGAAGTGGGAGCAGTCTATGAGGTCCATGACTATTGGTGTGAGTCGTGTTGGGAGATGCAGACTGTGTAGTTGGGGTCGCCGAGCTAGAAGAAATCAGTGTTTGATGACTCTTGGTGAGATGGGTGAAAACCAATTAGTGGAAATGTATTCACTCGTTGACATGTTCTGAATCTTGAATATTTGCATTAGTTGTTATCGTCAGATTGTTTATTCTCTCTACTTTGTCTAATTTGATATCAGTCTTTTTCTATCCACTTGTTCTTTGTGTAATACTGTGAAGTGTGGGGACTTGAGCGGATGCATGTGTGTGCGATGTTCTACATTGGTTTTAGCAATCAGTCAGCCAGTCAAAAATGTTTCCAGTCGTTTCAGCTGTTGAAAATACAGCTATCAGTGTCTTCAAATCCACACAGAGTACTGATTACTCTATATCCAAGGATTATGATAAGGGAACGTACGCGAGGTTTTGTCAGTGAAATATTCCGTACACTAGTATCAGCACATTGATTAACACAAGAAAACTAATTTGTTAGTCATTTCAGGGATGAGCCACGTGAAACTATATTCATTTGGAGAGAGAGACAGTCATTGTCAGCACAGACTTTGACACTACTACTGAACAATCCAAGTTGTCAAAATCAACAAAGAAATATTCTGAACGAATTTGTTTAAAGCCATAGAGAGGCTATTCAGCACAGGGCTAAGATGATAATTGCTAGGTGTTCTCGGCGGTTTAAGGTTTCCTCTTCGACGTTTTATCAACATGCTAGACGGCCTGTCGCTGGTTCTTAAAACTGTTGAAACATTTAAGCATGACATTGGTATCTGGATGTATATCAGTACTCACACAGTATCAACTCAATTTCTTCTCTCTTTCTGCAAGGAATATTAGCTGCACACGTGTGTTATTGTTATTATCATCTAACACTTTTCACTCATTCATTTATTTACCAACCTATTCAATCATTTATTCACGTCATTATGCTTACAAGACTATGGATGTATATTTTTATTTATTTGTGTCTATTACAATTCGAAAGCTGATGAGATAGATTTGTACTCACCACGTAAATTACTTGATATTGCGAATTTAGACATCTTTGTTGATGGGTGTTTTGGTTGAATGTTTCTCTTTTTTCCTTTTTCTATCGAAAATTCATTTATCGTGTACATTAAATAACTAAAAGCAAAACCAGGTTTTTGTTTCGATAGTGCACTCCTTTATGCTAATTCTTTCTTAACCGACAGTTTTTAATGATCCTGTCGCTTCTGCTGTTAAATGTTCCCCTACAAAATTACCTATTTTTATTGTGTCGACACTGCATTATGTTTTATATATTTTTATAAGTTTGGTCATCATATTTCAGTCCGATCTTTGAGAGAATTAAACCCTTGGAACAGTGTGATTTATTTGCGCA